TTATTTGCTTTGACTAATAAACCACAAGTTGGAGTCCGTCAGGACAAGGGTTCGGAGCAGCTCAATTTGCTTTGGAGAATTTTACACCGGAATAAGTATTCTCCTCGCTTCGCTTGACAAACCCCGTGATAGTCCTCAAGCTCTGTGATTGGATGTTTGAGTGTGCGCCGAGGGTTACGCCGAGCGCCGAACAGCACTTTGAAATGGGATGGAACCACGGCAGACTATCCAAAACTGGATTTGAACGGGTCCACCCCGTTGCCCCCGTCCCCAGAACTACACATGCTGGCTATTGTGTGTTTCGCAACATGTTCTATGGCACGTCTCTACTGGGAATTGTAGTTTTAAAAGACGTTTTCGTATTTCCCATCATAAGAAGTTGCCAGTATTAAACTGTGTACATCCCTGGAGGTTTAGGGGATAGGAAACACTCAAATTTAAAACATATAATTAATAAATGGGTGAAAATGGCTTGTGCCCATAATGGGCAGTATTAATATATACCCACATGCCAGCTAAGGTCAGAAGAGCTTTATTTAACAGCTGGCCTTATGTCTGTGACCCCTCCTGTTGTTAATTGATAAGCCTGAAACATGCACTTGTCAAGGTTCAGAGGCAAATTTTGCAAATATGGCAGTAGCCATCGATCATCTTAAGATAAGATATACTTTATTGATCCGAAGTTGGAAACATTTGCGTTACATCAGCATGTGTAACAGTTGTAAATATGCAGTGGTGTTTATTTGTAAATAATTTCGTATAATCACACAAATTCTGTGTTTTATATTGAATAATTCTATTCTTTATTTATTGATTGTTCAATACCTGACAAGGCCGGAGATGAAAAACTTGGGTCGCAGGTTTCTAAACAGTGCATTACAAGACATCTATCAATATGTGTGTACCTCCACCATTAAACTGTCATATTCTGCACATTTCTTATACTATCTACATACATCTTTTAAGTGTATAATACATTTGAATAATATCAGTTAAAATAAGTGCTTCAACATAGTTAACATTGCTGGAGGTATACACACATACAGTAGATAGATAGATATCAGTGTTGAGGAACCTGCGACCCAAGTTTTTCATTCATTGCATAACTACACCGTAGTTGTGCATATGATATGTCAATAAACCTTAGAAAATCTTGAAATCTTGAAAGGGATGTGCAAAATACTCATTATATACAGTCTTTAATTAACTATTAGTGGAGAATAACGAGTAATGAATATACTTTACAGGGATCCTATTAATATCTAATAATAAAAATAATGAAATTTAAACGTTGTCGCTCCTATTGGCTAGTGCTGAAACACAGTGTACGTGATAGGCCAAGGAGCCGGACATCTCTAAGCGGTTGACCAATAACAACAGAGCCGGCCAGCTAACCAATCAAAGCAGCCTGGGCTCTGGTTTCAGACAGAGGGTGAAAAGAGGTGCTGCAGCACAGGCAGTATGAGAAAAATAAAGAGCTTTTTGAACATTAAAGCATGGAGACATGTCACAGTAGAGACACTACATACACCTGAACTGGACCAAAACACGAAGACAGTGTGTGACAAAGTAAAACACGTTCAGCTCGGCTTATGTGCAGCCTACAATATGCACAAGTAAAGGTACACTATATAAACAAAGGTATTGGAACAAACCAATTCTGAAGATCTCTACCCCAGACCCATGTATTTAGCTCTGAGAGAATAATCAACATTGTGCATAACAACATAAAACAGGCAAAGCACTATGACACCTCTATCAGCTGACACCAACAGGCCAACACACTCTCACTCCATAAACGTCCAGGAGCGACGCTTGGTCAGGGTCCCGTGGCGTGCAGTTGTGACGCTCCTAGGCTCCTTCAGCTTCATAAAGGGACGCAAATAGCTTTCAACTGATTGCAATGTATTCCCATCTGCTGCGGGATTTGACGCTCATGGAAGCACGGCATTCGTTTGTGTCGGCTGCCCTTAAAGGCAATGTGAGCGTCCATTCCCATTAGATAACGGAGAATTGTACACCCGGAAGTAAGTATTCCCCTTACTGTTGATTGATTTTACAGTGATATCTGCGCTACTCATCGACTAAAAAACACCAGATTATCCTTGTTAATCACACAACATTGATTGGTTTAAATTGTGTGCAATGCTTTTGTATTTTTCCCCTTCGATTCGGAGAAACAAATATTTTTTCGGAGTAAAGAATGGCAGAAGACACTACACTACCCAGAATCCCCAGCTATCGTTTAGGACTACACCATGTGCTCTGTTTGACAAACCCCGTGATTAGTTCTCAAGCTCTGTGATTGGTTGACCTCCAACTGCATTCCATATGATTCCAATGGCTGGCGTCTGTCACATGATCTTACAATTTCTCTCTGCAGAAAAAAAAAACATGGCCGAACTTCGTTTTATTCTCGGTGGAAAATGCCTATTTTAAAGTTAGTTTGGCCATTAAAAATGCGTTTTGATGTCATTTGATGCGAGAAATATTAGTTGTTATTTCAGATTATGTGTGCAGTGGATGTACATGATCTTTAGTTTGCTAGTTATTACGAAGATTACTTCAGGAAATTGTGTCCATACAACGTTTTCATTGTTACCAAGGTGNGTATTACTATTAACTGAAGAAAACAATAATAAATCAGTACACTAAAGTGCTGTACTTAAAGGTGAGGTATGTCATTTATTTCAGAAACACTTTTTGTTATAGTCCATGGAATGCTCTTAACATCCCGATAGCAATGAATATCTTAAGTGCTTTGACAAAAAATACATAAAAACATTTCATCTGTGGAAGCCGGCCCGGCTAAAGTAACTGGATGGCCTACCTGCCTGTCAGCCTTCCATCTGTGCACAAACTTATCTCGTGCCCTCATTGGTCATGTGTGCGTTCGTGTGTGTTGGAGGAGGGGCTCTGTAAGGAAGGGGCAGATTTGTTCCGGTTGTGTATTTTCAAATTCTTGCACACTCGAGCTGGTTTCTCCAAAATTACCTACCCCACCTTTAAGTACAATGTTTAGATAATTTACTTGAGTATATTCCTTGTTCTGCTATTTATACTTCTACTCCCTTCTATGTTAGTGGGATTTATACTTGTTCTATTGATCTAATCACTTAAGTTACCTTACAGATTCAGATTCATACTAAGAAAACAATCAAAAAAAACATGTTTGATGCAATTGTTTGGATAATGATTTCCTTTATTGATCTAATTGAGGAATACACAAGCTACTGAAGTATGCAGGAAATATAAAATACAGCTACATGTCTACCTAGCTGCAACCTTAAAGCAATGACATGAATGCATCACTAATGATTATCCAATAATATGATATCCATTCTGAAATGGGCCATTCTGCATCTTACTATTTATACTTGATATTGATAAGTTATACATTAAATTAGAAATGGATAACTTTCACTTGTAACAGATAATTTTTACACTTTGGTATTGCTGCTTTTACTTAGGTAAGAGAGAACTTCTTCCACCACTAACCACGCTGTAGTTTATAAAGTGTCCCTGTGCATGTCTCCAGAGCTGGCAGATCCTCGGCTGAGGCTCTCCACAAGGGTAGTCACATCTGAATGTCTAAAAAAGGAACATCTTATTGGGTCGAAGGGATCATATCAGTTTCATTGCGAGTCTGGCGACACTCACACTTACACGTTCACACAAAAGCACCGCAGCCATTTTGGAGCCTCTTGCTATTTTCTCCTGCTTCCTCCCTCAGCAGAGAACGTCATCTGACAGTAATGTTTCTGAGAGGCTAAATGAATTGTGTCAGAGTAATACTACAAAAAGACAAGTCCTGCTATGAATTGAAACACTAACAAGTATTCTCTGTGTGTCCAAACCCTCGTGTAACACCTTTCTCTGTGCCATATACCTCAATTGCTGTCAAAGAAAGAAAACCGTCTCATAATAGACAAACTGATGCATTTCCTTGATTACCACGAACACAGACAGTGCAGTTTACTTTCATTCAATCACACACACTCCGTCCTGGAGCCCCAAAATACGACTATATGGCACCAAAAGCACTATTACACTAAACACTATAGTAAAAAAGACATCCCCTAGCTCCTACCTGGATCTTGAGTCCTGGATCTTGAGTCGTGGCTGTGCCTGTTGCTGTGGTCCTGGATCATAAGTCCTGGATGGATATCCTCGTGGATTCATCTTCTTATTATAGACACACGCATTTCCAAACATTTGGACTACCTATGTTGTAAATGTATTATATCTTTTCGATTTACACACGGCATCTATTGCACGTCTGTCCGTCCTGGGAGAGGGATCCCTCCTCTGTTGCTCTCTCTGAGGTTTCTCCCATGTTCCCCTTTAAACTAGAGATGTCCCGATAAGATCACGTGA